TCAAAATGTTAAATGGGCTGAGGATGTAGCTTAGTGGCAGAGCACACCTGGGATCCACGCCCAGGACAGGGGTTCAGGGACCAGTTGGACCTGGTCATTCAAGTAAAGCTCCATACTGATGTCACCTTTCTTCATCTACTCTACAAAGCATAAGAAGCCAGTAATCACAGCAAAGAATAAAAATACTAGTAGTGGCTAAAATGGTCACATAAATCTCAAAATGATGAAAAAAAATTCCAAATACAAAGGTTATTGGAACAGAAAAAGGTCTTTGGTCCAGTACATCCAAAATGACCAATCTTCAGACCACCTAAGCTCTTGCCTAGCTGTGACACTACAGCTGTGGTTGTGTCATCTGCAAAACCATGCAGTCCACACCCCGAAACCTGGATGTGGGTTCTCCTCTCAGCTGCCTGTGGTAACCTGGAGCAAAGTGCCTCGACAGCCTGCTCACAGGACAGGCAATGCAGAAGCTCTCCGTGCATCCCCCACGGCACTCCTGCTCCCTGGGAAGGTGGAAACAGCCCAGTGCTGATGTGTGTGCAGCTGACACGCGTCCTCGGCACGTCCTCCACACTTCAGGATGAGCCCCAACTGCTTCACTGCCTTTCCTCGACGTGATCACTAGGAGACGAAGGTGAGGGCTCGCAAAGGCTGCAGATCCACACCACCTTCCCACTTCTCAATTCCTTACTGTTCTTTACAGGTTAGCTCCTCTCCAGCAAAACTATGTGAAACAAAGGTATTCACACTAAGCCAGCATTCTGAATTTTCCATTTAGCTCACAGGAACGAGAAACAGTCACCCTGACGGGAGCAGCAGACATCCATTAGCAAATGGCAGAGTTCCACATCCCCATCTCATCTCAAAGTGTGGAGTGTTTTGCATGAAAAGGTAACTGCTCAGTGATGAACACCAAGCATCTTTTGAAAATGAATGAGGACTTGCACTACCAAGGAGTTCTACTGTGGACTATGACAAGCTGATCTAAAACTCAAACTGATCTAAAAAATGCTAAGAGCCGAAAACACCCAAACCGCCTTAAAGAGCAACATGCCAGGCCATGCTCCAGCCACACAGAGCGAGCACAAGTAACGCAGTGCATCACGGGCACAGCTAAGTTAACAGTCTCACCAGCTTGAGCCGCCAGAGGTGCACGCGACTGTCCCCGACCGCCCACCGTACCGCTGGTGGTACAAATGGATCCAATCACTTTTATCAGTCTTTTTACTAATAAAATTAGTAAAAGCCTGTAAATGGACCAAATCTAGATAGTTGCTTATATTTAGATAATTACTACCCAAATGCAAATATTAATTAACGCTATACCAGTTAAAATTATTAAAACAATCAAATTTATTTCATCAAATCTACATCTGTGAATAGCTTATCAATAGTTAATAAATCTTCACACGAAGATTCTGAGTTCCCCATTGGTGGTGTACACACTATGCATCTACAACTGCTGTGCCACACTGTAGCTGTGTTACAAAGCTTATACCGGTTTCATGTTTTCCTTAAGGAACTGTGCTAGGATGGCACACCATCTGCCACACCAATGCTTTTCTTTGCATTTTGTCATCAAAGAGCCCCGGAGAAATGCTACAAGCCACCCAATGGGACAGCATGAAGGCAATGAGTCAGCCCCCGCAGGGGAAAGGATACCAGCACAGCCCACCACATTCCAAATATGCTTAAAAGCAGCGTCCAGCATATATCCTACAACACAGGAAAAGGAGGCAGCGAACAGCAGAGAAAGGATGAGATTCGGACGGGCCTTTCAGAAGAAATCCCGCAGCCAGTTAAGCACCCAGTAATGCGCAATGCCACCCCTCCTTAGAAAAATGCAGAGTAAAACCGGCGTGCAGGCCTTCAGCATCACGTGGGCTGAGATGGAAGTCCGGTAACACCACACCTCGGACAAGGCGGGGGGATGGGGGCAGCAACATGAAGCGTTAGGGACGCGCACGCCTCCTAACCCAGGGACTCCGCTCCCGGGTCCATGACCGAGAGAGACGTGCTTGCTTGCAGATGTAAAGGCACTGCTCACCACAGCCAAAGCCTGAAAATGTCACAGAATGGAGACACACTGGTACTGAAGAAACAAGACATTACACAGCAGTAACAGTGAGCCGACCACACCCACGTGACACGAATTTTCTAACACTGAGTTAAGGAAACCAGACACAACATACAGAATGGTTCAATCTTCATAAGAGGTAAAAGTAAGCAAAGTAAGCTATACTGTCACATAACTGGCTTTTTTTTTTTTTAAAAGAATGAAGAGAACTTGCTAAAGTCAGGACAGTCATGGCCTCTGGGGACAGAGGGTAGGGGTGACCGCCACCAGGGAACACAGAGATTCTGAGTGCCAGCAACAGCTTTCCTGCCTTGCAGTGCCTGGCTGCTGGTTTATCTATTCAACGGCACACTTGTTTGGTATGGTTTTTTGTGGGCTGTAGTTTACAAAATTTTTAAGAAAATGTGAGGACTCGCTTTGCCAAATAAAACACCAATTAAAACCAGAATGGCTGGTAACGTGGAAAAAACCAGGAGGCCCAGAAATAAGCCAACAATGTAAAAGACACATAAAAATATATATTCTCCATCAAGCATTACAAAGAGTGGCTTACAATACTGAAGCAACTGACAAACTCTTTGCAAAGATTAAGCTGAAAACCCTACCTCACACAGTATCTCCAAACAAACTAGAGATTAAATTTTTTATCCCAGTTACATAGATTGAGTTGTTTATAAATAAAATAAAATTCCTATTAAGACAACTATAAAATGCAAAAAAAAAAAGCAACGAAACCAAAACTAGTATATTTACCCAGACTTAAGCGTGTTCAGGCACATAGCAGGTAAAGGAGGACTTTTTTTTTTTTTTTTACATTTATTTATTTAGTGTGTGTGTGTGTGTGTGTGTGTGTGCGTGTGTGTGGCCAGCTCAGCCCACCAGGGGGCGGGGCCGGCTGGCATGTGGTGCTGGGGGATTGAACTGTGGTCCCTGTGCTTTGCTAAGCTTGTTCCAAGTAGGTGCTTTAGACCACTGAGCCATCTCACCAGCCCAAGGAGGACTTCTTAAGAAAACTACGCTGAAATAGCACAAGCTCTATGAGGAAACACACTATAACGTTGTAGGACAAAGGGTGGACATTCTTAATTTACAAAGAATTCGAACGAAGAAAAAAAGCAAGCTCTCTAAAACTAAGGACAAAAACATGTGAATAAGCAAGTCTCAAAATAATGAATAGAACTAGAAAATAAACACATTTTTCTGTAATTTGCAAGTATCTTCAACAGTAATTTAAAGTTCTGGGTGATTAATAGATTGCTGAAGGAAATATAAGTGGACCCTCTCTGAAATGAGTGACACACAGCAAGGGTCTCAAAAAGTTACTACCTTCCCTATATGCATTTCGCTTCCTAAAAACTATCTCTGGAAATTGTTTTGTTCTTTGGGTACCAGGAATTGAACCCAGAGCCTCTGCACTGAGCTACATTCCTAGCCCCTGCCCTGATGACATTTTGAGACAGGGTCTTGCTGAGTCACTAACGTCTCCACTAGGCTCCACCCTATGATGCTTCTGTCTCAGCCTCCTAAGCTGCTAGGACTCCCATATGGACTACCCACCCAGGGGATGTGATTATCTTTTAAGATATTGCTCAAATCACTGTTGAGACCACGTAATAAACCATGTAATAAAAACATTCTGCTATCTAAAATGCAAAGTATTTAAAGAAAAATGTTTACCATATTCAAAGTAGCCCATGAGCAACACGGCGCGGCTACATTTTCAAAACACGAATGTATAGCTGTGCAGGGAAAACTGAGAAACAGAACGAGCTTCGCTGTTCGGCTGCGCCTGGCGGCTGGGCTCCCTGTGCACGCGCAGGCGCAGACTGCTGCTCCCGTCCTAAGAAAGACGCACTCTCGGTTCTGTAAGGAACATCTAGTCACGCTGTGTCTTGAAACCAGCCGTTAGTTTTAGAACTAACGACAAGGAAGCGGTGGGCTCAGCGCGCTTCAGTGTTGGCTCTCCCACGAAGAGGGAAGGTGCGGCGCCTCCGGCCGGCCGACAGGCAGGCAGGCCCGAGCCAAGCCCCTCGCGTCACAGGTCCTCGGCCTCTGTGCCTCCCAGCCACTGCACAGCTGTTTTAAAGCAGCAAAATTTAGGTACCAGTAAAATGCCACCGTTAGCATTTGAAGCTGCTCTACGATTGTTTCTTTCAGTATTTTAAAGGTTCCACATCAAATTCGTTAACATGTTCATTCCTCTTAAGACAACATATACCACGTGACATGACGGGAATGCGTATATATGAGGCTGATTTCTAAGGCCTACTATGTGCGACTCTTTTGGGGAAAGGCAATGCCTCGATGACCCAACTGTAACTTTCACAATCTGTCTTCCCTACTAGATACGCATTCCCACACGGACCTCTGAGCCATGAGCTCACAGAACCCATCGGGTGCCACCTCAGAACAGCCCTTTCTACTGAGCTGTGGCCTCGGACTTCTCCAGTACCACGTCCCTTCCCCAAACTGACCTTCCAGTGAGCAGCTCACCCCCTAGCACTTCCTCGGAGGAGTCCTGGCCCTACGGAGAAGCAGTTTCCTCACAGAAGACAGGAGAAACACCCGCGCCGCTGCCTGAGCGCTCTCCACGGGATCCCTCCCCAACAGCTCAGGAACCGCTCAGCTCGCAGACTGCACGGACTCGGGTACTCAGGACGGGGGGACTGCCTTCCTAACTTACTTAGCTGTCCACCAATGGAACATGCAGGAAATGCTACTTGATAAAGGTAAGATGAAGGAAAAACGACAAAGTCATCTTACTTGGCTTCAAGAAAGTGTGCTCTGCCACATACTAAAATACCAGCTCAACACATGACACACTGCAAAACTTTAATACAATATGGTTAAACATGACACTCAGTCAACTTTCCAAGCACACGAAGCTCATCATCTGAAAGACAAGCTGGGCTTTTCTTGTAGCTTCCCTCAACGATGTCCGCCACTGATGATCTCGATACTTGTTAGAAAGTCTGAGGCAGGGTGACGACGCCCCAACCCCGGGAGGCTGGGGAGGTCACGCGACGCCACCTTCAGCACTCATCGTCATCAGAGCACAGCGCGTCATCTTCGTCCCTGACCTCTCGGTACCTCCCTGCAGGCTCCCCTTCCGGGTTGTAACTCTGCATTTTAATGTTCAGTCTTTCTGCAAGCTTTTGTGCTGCGAGCTTCGCTTGCATTTCCTTTAAGGCAAAGAACAAAGCAAATAGTTACACATTTGTATCTTTTCCTTATAATTTTTCAGTGCGAAGTGACACACAAAGTGAATGGATTGATTAAATGTCAGAATTAATTAAATATCATGAAATATGTTTATTTCTCCAGACAACAGAATCTTCTCCTGCAGATTAAGCCACAGCTTCTGGGCCTGAGAATTACATTTCAAGGACACAGGACAATTAGGTATTGATTCTAATGCCAACTAAAGTCCTACAGACGCTCAGCAAAAGCCCCAGTAAATTCAGCCCGGCAGTGCGCTCACATGTGGCGAGGACGCCACCTGCGGGCAGCTAGGTAGGTAGGTGCCCCCATGGTCCCCAGGACTTCCCTGGGTCCTCCCCCAGGGCCATGGTGTTACGAGAAACTAGACTTGGGTCTACAAGTATAGCCAAAAGACTTAGTTCTTTTGGCACCTACAACCCATATGCTACCAAAGAAACAGGTTTCACACCAAAGGGGTAAATTAAACATAACACTATCTGAAAACAGGCATTTTAGATCCCACAGATAATTTTAAAAACACTTCAAGGCTGAAGTCATAACTAGTAGTAATTTAATACACCAAGAAGAAAAATAATAACAGTGTCTTAAAAGTGCTCATCCCTACTAACTGAGCACTTACGAGATGCCAAGACAGACCAACAGGTAGCTTCCTGTGAGCTGGTGCCCGGTACCTGACTCAAACCCAGCTAAGCAGTCAGGGCAAAGCAGCTCTCGATGATGCCATTGTCCAGGCAGCTTGAGTACCTACTAACAACTTCTACTTTCAGTTCCCTCTGTGGTGCTCACACCTACCTTCTCCTAGCCCGTTAAGCTACCCATAAACTATGGGGCCCACGGGGATCCTCAGAGAAAGTGCTACAAGCTGATTTAGATGATGAGGAGAGGCTCCTCACTGGGCCCAGCTCCTGATGTCTGCTGGCAACACACCCTCTCCCCACTCCATCAGCACTGTCCTATCAAGAAGAGGTAGGGCTGGAGACACATTTCCTGGTGATCTTAGCAGGCCTGGGCTACATCCCACAAGTGAGGAATATTCAATGATTTCACAGGAATAAGGCAGAAAAGCAGAGCTACACTACCCTGGGGATGCAGGCTATGCCAGGCCTGCACACATGATGCTGTAGCCCCCCAGGACATCACCCTGGACACTGAGGAGGCTGGGATGTCATCAGCTGTTACCTGCGGTCTCAGCAATTCTGTGGCTCATCTCTGAGAGCCAGTGGTCACCTCAGAACCACATTCCCATCATATGCTTCCTTCCTCAACTCCTGAGTAAATTCTGACAAACACAAGGACAAGAACAGCCTGGACTCGAAATACCTCATAATTCTGTTTCTGCTGTCGCTGAAGTGCCAAGGACTCTTCTATGGTCAGCAGTTGTGAGGGCAGGTGGTGCAGCGGCAGAAGCCGTGCCGCTGTGACGTCATCCAGGTGCTGCTTGTCCCTGCGCCGCCGCTCCTCTGAGGAGATGGGAGACTCTCCCCTCTGACAGAGACCAGCTGAGCTGCCACGCTGTGAGGGTAACCTGAGGAGGGAGACTTCCGTTACAGGATCAGCCACCCTTCCACACACAAACAACCAAAACATGTCCATCACACACACACACACACACACAGATGCAGTCTTAAACCCAGCAGTTTACCCACACTCACTACCCACCACAGGGTCACATGAGCACACAGGCAGGCTCTTTGCTTCTCCTTTCCCTTTTCACACCTTGAACTCAAACTGACATTATTTTGTCATCTTTTCACTCAAGTACAAAAGCTTGCAAAGCAGCTTACTACTAACAGTTTACCATAAACAAGCAAACTGTTTTGGTGCAATGTAATACCACAATTACTAAGAGATCTATTCTAGGAAAAGGAGAGGCTAAACAGAAATGCTTCCAGATAACACATGAACAGGCCTGACCTAGGTATCTGCCCTTAGATGAGAGGAGAAGAGCTCCCAGCAGTGAGCATAGGAAGCACAGAAAACAGGTAGATAGCAGGGAGGCTGGGCTGGCCATGGTGCAGGGCACTAGCTTCTGTAAATCTGTTCTGAATTCCGTGCTGTCAACAGGGCTGCCAGTACAGGGGAGAAGGGGCTGCCAGTTAAGTCCAGACAGGAACAGTCCACAGTTATAGGCCAAGAGAGAGCCCTTTACAGCAATGGAGAGCAAGGATATACATCATGGAAGTGGAGCTGGAGACCAGGAAAGAGACACCTGGTTAAAAAAAATCAAGGTGGTGGTGGCACTGGTACCTGGAAAATACTGCAATAGGTCTGGGAGGACCCTGGAGCAAACCTCAGACATGATGGACCCCAGGGGCTGCAAGCACCCTAGCGGCCATGTTCTGGAGCTGACCAGTGGACTAAAGTTCCTGGGAAGAACGGGGTGCAGGACTGAGGCACCTCCTACACCCAGGCAGTGTAGACAAAGCCAGAACATGCACAAGGTCGCGGTTGGAGGAGTCAAAGGGCAGGGCAGGAACAATGCCTACTTGCATGCCCAAGGCCTAGGTCTCACATCCAGCACCACAGAGACAAAGACCAAAGGCATGAGCTCCCCTGCTACCCGCCCACCCCAGAGCCATCACCCACCGGCCTGGGCCTAGGGACCCCAGCAGGCTCCACCGAGCCGCTCTCCCCACTGCCCAGGTCTCCCATCCTTGGGAGCCTCCGCTTCCAGCCTGAGCTCCACCTTTCAGCTACATGACCACAGTGCACAACCACGACCACCTTATGCCTCCCTGCATTTGTTAAATGAAGGAGGCTTTGTCTTCCAAAATGGCCTAGAAATGGAGAGGCACTTCACTGCAAGCAGGAACAAAAGAACCTGATCAGAGAAGATTTTTCATCCCTAGCAAGAAAAGCAGCACAATACTGCTCTTTCTTTCTTTCTTTTGTGGCACTGGGGACTGAACTCAGGCTGTTGTGCTTGCCAGGGAAGCGCTTATTCTGAGCCATCTCCCTGGCCCCAATATGCTTTTTCATACAGCAGTAATGTTTTGAGGTTAATAAAAATTGTGACTCGCAAGGTAGCATTAAAGTCTCTTTGCGACAACAAAAACATGTTTTGTTTCAGGTATTTCTAAACATGGGATTTACAGTTTTTCAAAGAAGTGTCTTATGTTAACATCCCTGTAAGTACACTCAATGTCACATGTACAATCCATAAAGAATAATTCTTCTGAAAGAACTTTTATTTCTATGGAAATATCAGAAACAAACTATGGCAAGGAGCTCAGAAGCCAGAATCAAATTTTAACTTTTTAGCTCTTACCAAATGCCTTTGCCCAGCCCCCAGAAACTGCTATTACATAGTGAAATTTTCCCTCCAGAGTGTGAATGCTGCTCCCCAACTAGACCCTGAATTCTCCGAGGAACAGAAACTGCACCAGAGCCATGCTGCTATACACAGTGAGCACGCAGGCAGGCCATCAGCTCCTTGTCCCTTTGCATCCTGGTTAATCAAGGAGAGCAGCACACTAGAAAATGGTTCTGGGAAAAAAGCCATAATAAATTGTGTATCCAATTCTGTATTTATTGTGAAATACTGGCTAAGGGTCCCGACATTGATATTCACCATCTGCTACTTAAAACCTTTTAAATTATTTGACTTCAAAACCAAAGTATTTTTTCTCAGAAATCCTCTGCTCCTGCCAAGCTGGCCTCACCGCGTCCACACTTTGCGCCTATCGATAAGTACACTCACATCCGTCCCAATGAACTTCAGAGCACTCATCCACATTCTAAGTCGCAGGCACCTCATGTCCTGGGAGAGGACTGCTCCCAGTACTTACATGTTGGTCTTAAACTTGTGTGGTGGGGACACTGGGTTCTTGGCTCGCATTTCCAGCACTTCCATGTAGTGAGGCCTCCTGGGAGGGGTGCTACCGAGTCCCTGTGTGGCCTTAGCACTTGCTCCTGAGTGGTGTGCACCTTGCTCTGCAATCGTGATCCTCTGCAACTTGTCAATAAGCAGGTTGTTCAAACCGCCGGAAATATCTTCCGTGTGACCTGAAACACAGAGCTGTGGGAGGTGCTCTGTCGTCTTGGCTGGGGAAAGGGTCCCGGCCCTGCTGCTGGAAGGTGGGTGCCAGCTCACTGCAGATGTGGCCTGGGGAGTCTCTTGCCTTTCTTCGTGAGGAGGATGCACAAGTCCCTGCTCTTCTGAAGCTGTTTTGGATAACTTGATTTTATCAACACGGGAACAGCTCAACACTAATGAAGCATCAAGTATCTCTTCAGAATTCTGGGTCTTATCGATGTCCACATCAACTCCTGCAGCAGCCTTTTCCCTTAGCTCAAAATCTAAACTAATAGGATAAAACAGTTCACGCTTTCCTCTATCCGCTTCACGTTCAGCGATGGCAGCTTTCAGTTTGGCAACGGTATCCAAGATCTTTTTACCTTTGTCGGGCAATTTGCAAATGAATTTTCTGTCCAACAGAAAAAATATGTACAGATTACAGTTGTGTTTCCAAACTAGATACATAACACTTAAAAGATAAAACATATTGAAAGGGAGAGAAATGATTTTTTAGTCAAAAATATGATTTCTAAGTGGCCCAGAACAGGAATGAAACTAAGACAATTATTCAGATGTCCCCAAAACAAAAAACAGAAATAGGCAAAAATATGACTAGTCTCTCCTAATTAAACTTAAGGCAGAGACAGGTTGGACGTTCCTAAACTGAAAAATCTGCAATGTGAAATGCTCTAACACCTGAAACTTTCTAAGCTCTAATATGATTCTACCAAGGGGAACACCAAACCTGACCTCTTGTATGTAACAGGCTGTAGCTAAATCACTGGCACATCAAACAATACTATTTTTAGGCTATGTGTGTAAGAAACATAAATGAATTACACATTCTTGGGTCCAAGGCCGAAAGTATCTCATTATGTATATATAAATATCCCAAAACCCAACAAAAATCTCAGGTTTCTTGCTGGTCACAAGCATTTAAAGTGACACATACTCAATGTACATACTATTTTTTTTTTTTAATCAGTAGTTTTAGAAAATGACCCCAAAGACATAGGGGTGTGGAAATGGCTCCATATGTCCAAATTATCTTCATAATTCCAAGGTGCCATCTACCATTTCACTCTCAGTCCCACGGGTACAGTGCCGAGGCTACATGATGTGACGAAGTCACTGTTCTGGAATGGGACAGGTGCTTGTGTATCTTGTTTAAAGACCCCTCGGTTGTTTCTTACGAAACAGTAAGCACTGCTACCAGGAGCTCTTTGGGGTGTCCAACGAAGAGCACAAGGAGTCCTAGGGCCAAGAACCCCCACAAAACTTCTCCCCACTCAACCAACACCGAGTATCGGTGCCTTTCGCTTTGCGGATTCTTCCTTCAGAAGAGAGCAGGCTACCTCCCACCCTCCAGCTACGGCTTTTCATCAAGCAAACGTCTCTTTCGCTCTCGCCCCGGCCAGCAGCACCAAGCCAAGTCGACGTCGACCTCGCGTCCGCGCCTCTCGCCCGGTAGCCTACTTCGCCCGGGGCTTGCACGCCCACTGGACCCGGCCCCGTCTGCCGGCCACGCGCTCACGTCGCCCGGCCGCCCGCCGCCCCAACAGCGCCGCCCGCCCGGCCCCTC